ACAGGTGGCCGTGCAAGATAATCGCACCGGAAGATGGGACGATATGGAGGATTGCCGACGTTGGTCCCATACCGCCGTTACTAGTTCGCTGGGGGAGCCGGGTCCTCGTGCGAAACAGGCGGCACATCCGACGGCGGTACGGACACGCGACACCAGATCCGTCCCCTGCGGCGGAGGACCGACGCGGGGCTCCCAGCGATGATCGCCGGACGAGTACTGCGACGAGCGGCGGGGCCAGTCTGTCGTCGCGCGAGACTGTGCACCATGCCCCTCCACCGCTACGTCGGTCGGAGCGCGTCCGCCGCCCTCCGCGCCGACTGATCGAAGAAATTTAATTTCAGTTAGTTATGATTTCGTGCTCGCGTTCTTCGCACGTGAGGGGAGGTGTGGTGGTCTGTATCAGGCTTGGGCGGCCCGTGCAACGTGCCGTGCCGTACCGTTGGACGGCGGTGACCTTGTACGGTCACGTGACCGCCTGAGGTGGCGTGACCGGCCGCGCGGCTGAGCCGCGCGGCCGGCGCGGCGGACCGGCAGTTGACCGGCGAGTGGCATTGCGGCCGGACTGTGTTTCGTGCGTGAGCCAATACATCTCCTGTGCGTATGAACAGCGAGGCGTGTTGCTGAGAGGCCACACCACTACAATCGATACCTCTTTCCGTCTTTTTTATAATGATTTAATGATTTTAAGATCTAACCTGCTTTCCCTGATTTTATATTCCCTGAATTCAGCTGTCGTAGAAATCGACATGCTTAAACGAAGTCAAGGAGTTAATCCGTAAGTTATTAAAAGCTTCTGCACTGTCTTCGTCTTTTCAGCTCTTCGTTTTCTCCTTCATCAAATGTAAAGACATCTGGAGATTCTGCTCTCGGCTGACTATGACACAACCGCTGTTGCTAACGCGTTTCTGTCGTATTTTTGCAGAGAAAGCAGAAGCCATTGAAGAAACACTGAGCATGGAGGCGCTCGCTGAGGGGTTCTCAATCGAACACCGCAGCTCACGCAGAAGCACGATGAAGCGCAACACCATCAGTAGACGGTCGGCAGTCGGTGAGTTGAGAACCACTGGTCGACTGACCGAGACCCGCAATTTGTAATCCCTCCCCGTGGGGGATTAGGAGGATACCGGCAATTTTGTGCAGCAGCCTTATGTAAGAGATAGAAGGAATGCTGCCTTTCTGTTAGTGGTTTCTTCTAAGTGAATTAGCTTGTTAATGAGAGTATTATCTGAGCCCTGTGATTCTTTTGAATGGTTCCAGGTTCACATTCTCTTTGAAAAAAAAAATAATAATAATTTTTCGTTTCCATGCATTAGCTGACTGCATGCTATAAACAAGTAATTTATTTGTATTTCAAGTTAATGTCGTCATATTCTGCATTAATAGTCTGCTTTATTTTGGGTATGATCAAACAACCCCTGGCCACCTCTAGCGTAGGCTATAGCCTTTCTGCGGCTTAGGAAGGGCTCTTTGATTGATAACAGTGAGGTGAAACTTTTTTCGCAATCAGCGTTGAAAATATAAAAGACACCTACCCTCTATTCGATCGATGTTGCACTCATTTTCCAACCAAAACATTTTACCCGAATGTTGAGTATTGCTGATTCTAGTTGGTTTTGTACAATGCCTGCTAGCAATGCATAAGAAATAAATAAATAAGTAAATAAATAAATAAATAAATAAAAGCATAATACACTGCGGATACGGTATTTTTCCGCACAAGTTCCCGCCATCAGAACGGTGTGTGTGTGTGTCTTCCGCGGACGCTCGTCTACTGAATGGCCTTCGCTGAACCAGAAGTCCCCCACGAGGGTGTCGGGGGGGGGGTGACGGGAGGGGAGACTGGCAGCGGCACGCGCTCTGAATGGCCCGTCTGGCGGTCTCAATGGCTGTGCAGTGTGCCGTGCCTGGCCAGTCTGGCAACTGATGACGTGACGGTTACACGCTGAGCTGGACAGATCTGGCAACCGGTGACCCCGGACAGCATCCGGTAGAGGTCGGGGGTCGGGGGAGGGATGGAAAGGGGTATAGGATGGTGCGGTAATCGATACTAGTGGAACGTATTGCCCAGGGTTAGCCTGATAGTTGGCATCGGGATTTTAATTTCATGCTGAAGGTGCTGAAGAAGCGAGTGAAAATTTATTTCGATGACCGATGTGCCATCCCGAAGTGCATATTTTAATCACAATCGGGTGGTGTTGCTTAGTCAGCAAATAAGTGTTAAATGAATGAATACATATAACGACAATGGTTAGTATCTCCCAGTTGCATTCACCTCCCGACGAATTTAAAATCCCTTATGAGATAGGAATTGTGTGTCGTTTCTCAGCCTCACCTCTGTATCCAAGTCTCTCTCTACTCCTTTCCATTCCCCGCCTCTAACCTTTCGCTCGCTCGCCGACGTCCCTCTGATTGTGTCCTGGTTACACCATAGACCGCCCGCCGGGCCATCGTCGTAACCGTCGACCGGTCGTCGTCACCGTCATCGCCCCCGTCGGCGGCGGCGTTACCTCGTTGCTGACCTTTCCGGTGGCCTATTGCGCCACTACCGGCTCTCTGATGCGCCGCAGTGGTCACAGTAGGACGTAACTATCGTCACCGCCCGCCTCCAGATTCTCACGGGGGTGTATTATCGTGGGGATGACCGTTCCCGTCCTTGGTAGTCTCCAGGGAGGAGGCTTTCGTGGGGATAACCGCCCCTCTCCTGCCCTGTCCAGTAATGTTCCCTGCACCACATGGGGCAGTGTTCTCTAGAGAGTTAGCTGAGCCGTCTCATCCCTTTCTGCCCAGACTATGTATTCCCAAGGGACAGTACCCTCCCGCGGCCACCGCCTCTCCCCCCCCGTCCCCCCCCCCCTGCCCCCCTTCGGTTGGTCAGTGACTGAACTGATGTGTCCGTCACTCTCAGGGGAGTTCTGGCGTGCCTGCTCAATTGTCCAATGTGATGACGGGTTTCCCCTGCACGCTAGTAGGACTCAGCGAGACATTTCTGGAGCGTCAGACACCGACTCAGTGAATATTGCGACTGTTTGTCGATTGATATTGTGTCCCCCGTGCTGATGAAGAATATGTATTACCTTCTGGGAAAACTGGGCTTTGTTATGAGCAACCAACATTGGTACAGGCTTTGACCTGACAACTGCTGCAGAGTAATAGTTATTTTTGTTTTTACTATTTTGACTCTCTCCTGGCTATTTTTCTTTCGGTCCATCTCTCACTCATAAATAATGAAATTTATAGTGTACACGTGGCCTGTCACCCATACTTCATTTAAACAACCAGAAATATGAAAAGTAACTGCGACCCAATTTAAAGTTAAATAACGATAAGATCGCCTGGAGAGCACAAAAGACACAAGTTTTCTCTAAACTAGCAGCGAAGTCCTCGATAACCCAGACATTATTTCAGACAATTCAAGGGCCCCTGTCCACCAAAATCATCCTGACCCTTTTGCTCTACAATTGAGTGTATTCCTACTAAAACATGAACTTGGTGCGTCAGCGAACACAAGTCTGGAATGACGTCATCAAATCTACATCTAGGATAGGAGTCAGTGATGCGCTTTTAATGTCTGGAAATGGGCCAAATCATCTGGTTCGGTGGCTGTCTATAATAGCTATAGTGTGTTTTGTGACGTCCCAGTTTTTTCTCTATTCTCTTGTTTCTATGACGACTGTATCCTGGCGTAGTGTCACGTTGCCGGTAACGTGATCTTTATGAAAACTTTCTAGCTCGTTGTTCAAAATCAGCACACGTGTCTTTGATCATGCATTAGAATAGAACATGTTCTGGCGGACTCAATTTTTGATTGTAGGCAGGGCAAGCCGTCGAAAAAAATTGTCAAGGGAAGAAGTGGCCACTTCAGGTAATTCCCATTAGCCACGCTCAGGTTTTAGCAGAAACACCCAGCAGGCAGCAATCAAAGAAAACTACATCGTAGCTCATATCACCCTATCCCTTGACAGGCTGTAACCCAAGCGAGCTCTTTCTACGCCCGAACAGGGCTTTTCTCCCTCGTAGCCCGCCCAGGCCCCGTAGCCTAGCAGGCACTCTATCGCACCATATGGTGGACCGGCCGGGAGGGACGAGATGTCGATATTGCATGGACCATTAACTCGACAATCTACCGAGCTGGAGGTGTGGTGCGGGTGGGATTATTGGCCACAACTTTTACCGGGTGTGTGGCTGAAAATTATGGTGTGTGGGCCGTGGGGCATGGGCGCAGGGTGAACGAACATAAACGAATAGAATAATAATCGAATGAAAATAATTGGGAAGGAGAGACCACAGGCATATACAGACGATTATGTAGGAAATAACTGTATGCCAGATGAGAAACTTATGTCGTTCTGCAAAAGCGGCACGCATAAGCGAAGTTTTATGATGTCATGTCATTCCCCATATGTTCTGTATCGCGCCTCTGGGGATGGTTGCCCATTGGTTAATGGTTATAGCATATGGTCAATGATACCTCATGGTCTCTCTCTCTCTCTCTCTCTCTCTCTCTCTCTCTCTCTCTCTCTCTCTCTCTCTCTCTCTCTCTCTTTCTCTCTCTCTCTCTCTCTCTCTCTCTCTCTCTCTCTCTCTCTCTCTATCTCTCTCTCTGCGATATCTAACACCCCTCTCTCTCCCTCTCCCTCTCCCCAGCGGCAGCAGTACCTCCGAGACCGATGCCCGCCTCGGTTGCCTATAACAGCGACAATGAGAGCAAGTACGACGAAAACCCAGACGACAGCAGCCTTTCAGAGAAACCGTCGGAAGTTAGCAGCACAGATTCGCAGGTGAGTGTCCGCACGAGACTTCTGCTCGCTCCCCCACGGGTCTAAATCCCCCCCCCCCCCCACACACTTACACAAATACAATACCAGCATTAATTGCAAACACCAACACCAGCACCACTACCTCTGCGCGGTTGGTTCGGCTGCCGATGTAAATAGTCGGGTCGAATGTGAATGTAAATAGTCGGGTCAGCTGTGAATGTAAATGGTTTGCCTGGCCTCGGAAAGAGGCGGGTCATTTGATCGGGGGACGATAGCGTAGTTTCGTGAGCCGACAGACTGCTCAAGTAAGCTGAGTCTCGGCTGAAAGAACCAATTCGGGTTTGGTATTGTCTTCTCAACTTTCTGTCACTCTACTTATGTTCTAATGTGATGTTTCCTTCTGCATGCAAGCTAAAGACAAGCCCACAGAGTTTTCTTTTGAGTTGATGATGAGTTTTTTTAAGCATTGGAGGACATTGTGCACGGCTTCCGTTCGACGATGACTTTAGATTAATTTCCGGTGAATTTTCAGTAACCTCTCGGGAAATATCCATGCTCTGGTACCTGGAGCCGCTCTTTTTATTCATGGACAATTTTGCGGCCGCTCCGGTCTGACGCCTGACGTTGGAAATTGATGTGCTGCTGGCTGAACTCTGTAAAGGGCAGGTGTTGGAAAGTATAGCCGACAACGCCTGACCGGCTCCTGATCTCTGATTCTTGCTCTGATTTGAGGTTCAAATGCCTTGGTGTGACTTTATGTGTCACTTCTCTTTGTATGATACCAGTATCATGTCTTCCTTAGGCGAACTGATGTGTACTGTATATTATTTAGCAGCGAAAGTCGTCTGCGGGGATAAGCCTCGCTGATAGAAAAATTTGATACGTAGAAACCACGCAAAACTATATAGGTACTTGGGCTTCAGTATATGTATACTAGTAACCAGACCCAAACCTCTCTGTCTTAACCTCGTTCAACTCAACCTCCCCCGTCCTGACCTCACATGCCCCCCCCCCCTTCTTTTTCAGGGTGACGATGACGAAGATGAGCTCTACTACCAATCGGGTGCGCGCAGCATGGTGGGACACTACACGAACGTCAATGACGTGTGTAGGCAGTCGTGGAAGCGCCAGAGGCCGACGCCCTCGCGCCAGGTGCCCTCGGGGCCGGTCAGGACGGCCGCCACTGCGGGCCCCGTGCCGGGCGCGATGGGAGGCGGCGGGCTGAGAAATTACGCCAGCCATACCGACTCCGAACAGGAGGGTGAGTTGGGGAGAGGGGGAGAGAGAGGGGGAGAGAATATAAACTCGATGGAGGATGGAGAGAATAAAGAGAGTAGAAATATATAACAAAGGAAGGGGTGAGAGGGCGAGAGCCCGCTGGGAGGAGAATCGGGAGGAGAGAGATTGTAGCTGGAACGAGCGCGGAGAGAGAGAGAGAGAGAGAGAGAGAGAGAGAGAGAGAGAGAGAGAGCGAGGAGAGAGAGAGAGAGAGAGAGAGAGAGAGAGATTGGCAGAGCATGAGAGGACGGCGGAGGGGTGGCGCAGACAGCTAGCCAATATGTCATAGCCATCGGCGCGGTATGACCAGGAAAAACGACGGGGCGGAACTGGCAAATGAGCTGCCTTCTGTGAACTCGATAAGTCGTCGATATATATGTTAGGCAATCACCGACGGGCGGGCCCGTTTTTTCTTCTCTCGATTGGCTGGCTGATGCTGGCGTGTCGTTGCGCATGCCTTTTCAGGGAACGGTCAGTCATTGCAATGTTAGCTGTATATGAGTTATAAGAAATGTAACTTATCACCCCGGACAGACCATATGGCATTCTGTCTCAACCAGAAGCTGCGTTCGTGTTCGTTTTTTGTCGTAGACTTAATTAGGCATCGAAGGGGCAGGTTAATAGGGGATTTTTCTGCGCATAGCTAGGGTAATGAAAACACGGGAGGTGAACCAATTTCCTGTGGCGCAGGTCGGCGATCCTTGTGATCAGTGGACGAATGGCTGTGTTAGTATGACATAGCGCGTTTCATCAGTAACATATTGTCGCCGCTGCTACCCTTATGACCCCCGCAGGAATGGCGTATTGGATGTGCGCACCGCGGCCGCGCACTCAAATGATAGGGTAATTTGTCATGGAACGAAATTGATAACGAGAATTTCTAACCGGAAGACTTAACTAAGAAGAATGTTCGTTAATTTGTATGACTTAGGAGGAGAGGGCTAAAGTGATGTGAACGCAGAATTTTGTTGTAGTTAAGTTTGTTGATCGTTATATCGTTGAAAATCATGAGGTCTAGCATCTGTTCCTCTTGGCAGTAATGGAGATTTTGAGTATAAATGTTCCCAATAACTACAAGACCAGGGTGTGGGACTGAGCTGTACTATAATGCCATTCTCTTTTCCTCTTCTGAGAATCGGGAATATTGGAATTGCGTGCAGCCAATTTTTGAGCTGGATACCAGTTGGAGTATGTTCATTTTTCCAAGCTTTACATAGCTTAACAGATGTAATGGCCATATATAAGATACAATTACACATCCATCGCAGCTATTCATTGTGATGTTTCTCTCAGAAACGCCTTAGCACCGTTTTATCTTCTTTCTAGAGAGCTTTATACCTTATTGCCCACGTCTTTTCTACATGCGCGTCATTACCTCTCTTTTTTACGTAAATTGGCGGTGTAATGACCTACCATTAATGGTAACTGAGAATAACGTGAGGCAGGGTAGGTGGTACTGAAAATACTCTCCTCTCATCTCTCGCTGTCGTCTTGGGCGTGAATGTGGTTATATAATTAGCCAACGACGTCGGCGGCACAAGGATGGTAGCATGTGTCTTGGTTATTTTTATACCTCCGGGATATCAATGTATCCGAGGGGAACACGGGACAGACGATACTCCCAATAAACCAATGAATTTAGCGACCAACATGCGATCGCGTCCGTGTGTGGGTTGGTGTGTGACGTGTGTGGGTGTGAAGGTGTTCATGGTCGAGGTTTTTTTATTGTCTGCTGCTGAGCACCGGATGCGTGACAATTTATCTTTTGAGGTGGTCATTCGATATCTAATATGATATCGTATGATACCCTGGTGGTTTTTGGGATCTTGTAGTCAAACGTCTTTGAGTAATAAGGGAGACTCTTTAAAACTTACGGGACTTCTCGTTATTCTGGGGACTGTCATAACTCCAGAGATTTCTAGGTAGCTAATGAAATTCCGTATATGATTCCCCGTGACCTCTCCTGACCCCGCCTGACCTGGTGCGACCCGATTTTTCAGGTTCAGCGGTGATGTCGCTAAATGGAGCGGAAGTGGTCGTGAACAATCGAGCCGGCAGTCGAGCTCCCCTCGGATCCGGCGCCAACGGCTTCTCCAGCTTTGTGTAGCACATGCCGTCCGTAGTGAGGAAGGACATGCGGAAGGCCTGGTGACTGGAAGGCTGGGACGGATGGAAGGCCAGGCTGAAGAGATTGTCCCTCGAACTCTGGTGGTATGAGACGAGACGGGACGTGAGACAGGGCGTCAATGAGGCAGGATCGCGGTGATGGTGATGGCGTTGTGGATGATGATGATGTCAGTAATGGAGTTGATTGTGTAGAGATTGCCAACATTACCTACAGCGACGTGTACGGCAATCTCTACAACATCATCATACGTCACTACCTAGCAGCGAATCCCTAGTAGCCTCCTCCTTATGCCACTAACCAACCAGCCGTCGTCTCGTCTTCTCCAGTACCGTCCCGACAGAGGCCTTCCGTCTCACTCACACACACGCATACAAACGTGCGTGCCCTCCTGTGATACACACTGCCCCGTCCTGCCCGCCAGAGTCTCGATCGTAGTAGAGTTTGTGTCTTGTCTGGCGTGTCTGCTTGTCTGCTGGCTGTCTGGATTGCCCGAGAGTGTCTGCGCTGGCGACTGTCTGCGTTGTAATGCGTGCGTACTGCGTAATGATGTCTGCGTCGCGTTGCGTTGTCTGCGTATGTCCCACAATATGCCGATATCTGCCCTGTCGCGGTACTCGCGGGGGCGGCAAGCGGCAGCCAGCCCATCTGTAGTACATCGCAGAGTGCTGCCTGCCGACCGACTGAAGAACTAGCTGAAGGGTTGTTTGCGACTGTGCGAGCCCGCAGAAGTGTTTGTATAGTTCCTTTGGACGTGGGCGCCCGCTGCGGCCTGAAGGGATAGGGGAAGGATGATGGGCAAGCCCGACTTTAGAGCGGCTTTGGAGACTACCAGAGACCGCTTTGTACGTCGGAGGAGGGGAGAATCATTGAAAGACTGCGTGGGTTTGAAAGAGACTTGTGAATGTAGCGTCTGAGCATTTGGTCAGGCCCCGCTGTTGTATGTATGCAGTGTTGTATCTATTTGTGCCTCAATCTGTATTAATCATGAAAAGCTGCGATTGGTTTGAACACTGCTAATGATAGAACTCATTAAAGACAGACACGGGCATTGCAGCTTGACTCGAACAAACTCCTGGCGTTCGCATTTGTGTGTGCTTTTGTTTGTGTGTCTGTGTACCTTTAGCGATGTTTCACAACTAGCGGCAGTAGCGAATCTCTTGAACTCGGTCTGATTAGTCTGTGAACCAGGCCACTGTTCTCTGTCCCAAGTGTATTTACTCGCGACGTCCCAGCCAATCACGCGCCTTTGTGGTCGATTCTGGCCAACAATGTTTGACACACTGCTCGGTCGAGAGAGAGAGAGAGAGAGAGAGAGAGAGAGAGAGAGAGAGAGAGAGAGAGAGAGAGAGAGAGAGAGAGAGAGAGAGAGAGAGAGAGAGAGAGAGAGAGAGAGAGGGGGGACTGACCACGGAAAGGATGACCTTCCGTGTTTGGGGGCAGCCGTCTGTTGCCAACTCCGTTGCCAGGCGGCTGTCCGCTGTAGTCTCGTCCAGGGATGTTTTAGACACGGAACACGTACTGTATTTCCCCTAAGTTGTGGCATGACGGATTGTCGTGTGAGTGGGTCTCTCTCTCTCTCTCTCTCTCTCTCTCTCTCTCTCTCTCTCTCTCTCTCTCTCTCTCTCTCTCTCTCTCTCTCTCTCTCTCTCTCTCTCTCGCCGTTTGTTTTCCGATATCGGCCTCGCTCGCCCTTGGCAATCATCTCGGCCGTCATTATTCGGTTGCTACCGACTGTATCTCCGGCCTCCACGCCCCTCTCCCCTCTCCTCTCCCTTCCCTCTCCCCTCTCTCCTGCTACTCATCTCGATGCCTCATGCCCTCTACACACCCTGCTCTTCGATTTCGCCTTTTTATCTACCTCGTCACCTGGCTTGGTCTTAAAAACTTTACCGTTTATAATTATCCGTTTTCGGTAAAGTTCACGAATCTCAACCCACGCTCCTCCCTCCTCCCCTCTCTCCAGCACTCTCTCCTCTCTAGGCTCTCTCTAGCGTTTCCACTCATCCCCTTTTCCACCGCTACGTCGGTTCAATATACGGTGCGGTGGGCCCAACTCGTAAACTGTCTGCCCACTCTAATATGCCGCACTGGGAGCCGTAACGTCTGACACTGCTGTGAGTGGTGGCGTCTGGCCCCACTCCGACCTAGGGCTGACCTCGCCTGTCGGTCTTACCTGCGGTTGGACCGAACTTTTTGACAGTTATATCTATGAACTTGGAAACCTGCCCTGTTGATTGTCATTTAGTATCGACCAAACAGTAAGCATATCGGCTGTTTTGCCTTCTAACCTTTGGCAGTAACTCAACTATATATCTTCTATCGACCACATTCGTCTATCAGCACACTAATTGATCATAGCCATCGATAATTTCATCCTCTATTGACTAGCTGTCCAGTGTTCAGTGACTGTAACTATCGACCGCCAAGTCCAATTGGCCTTTGTCAGAGCCTGTTATCCTACCCTCCGCACTGCAAGAGTTCTGCTTAACACTTCATAACTGTCCTGTCCTTCGTTTTCGCTCTGTCGGTTCCCTCTAGGCTAGACTCCACGCCTCAAGCTATATACCAACCAACCTACCCCCGGGCCCGAGATTGTCCCAAGGTCGGATTTCGCCACATAGTCCCTCCCATCGAGCCAGTGGCGTTTGATCTATCTCGGTCGCCCGCGGCTCAGACTGATCGCTGATCCGTGACATTTTCAATTTGGGCGGATCTGTGGATTCTGTGGTGAACCTCAATCATCTCCGTTGGTCGTATTTGACAGATGGGATGTCCGACAGCGATTTGGACAATTCTCTGATTGTCCAGGCGGTCTACATAGGCGCGAGGATGCCCTTCATTTTCAACACTCAAGAGCACGAAATTTTATCGACCATTTTTTTTTCTCTCTCTCTCTCTCTCTCTCTCTCTCTCTCTCTCTCTCTCTCTCTCTCTCTCTCTCTCTCTCTCTCTCTCTCTCTCTCTCTCCCTCTCTCTCTCTCTCTTCTCCCCTCCCTTCCCTCTCACTCACGCCTCTCCTTTTCCCTTCATGCCTGCCTGTCATTTGCTACTACCTCGGGTGTATTTCCCGGAATGTAGCTATACCCCGGCCTCTGTCATCATCTCCCAGGGGAACGGGTGCAGTGGCCAACAAGAGCGGGCACATCCCCTTCCCTCCCCTCGCCTCGCCTCTCCCCTCCCTTCCCCCGAGCGCCGCTGGCTATCGTCGGGTCGTTTGGACGTTGACAGTCGCCGGAGGCCCGGGCTGACCTGGAGCATGTTTCCTCCGCGAGAGAGAGAGAGAGAGATAGAGAGAGAGAAAGAGAGAGAGAGAGAGAGAGAGAGAGAGAGAGAGAGAGAGAGAGAGAGAGAGAGAGAGAGAGAGAGAGAGAGAGATCGGAGTGTGTTTGGCTAATGCGCTATTGCTCACGCTAACGGGACGCCGCGTGGACCAGGCATTAGCTCGCTCACAGCTTGTGATTTCTGGAGATCTGTTGTGTCCTATCGCTCGAGTGGCTCAGGATTTCTCGTTTTATACTTATTCCTGTACACACTTTGTTATCGACTCATTTAGTAGCCGTACTTTTGTCAGCTCGCAAAATTGTGTTTTGTCTTGTGATTTTTTTCGCTTTTACTGAATCATATTTCTACCTTTTGTTTTGTGTACGATGTTTTATTGCGTCGGTATCATGTGAGCCGGATTCTGGGCATGATTAATCCTCACCCATTCGGATTTTTTCCGGTTGTTTTCGAAGGAAAGTGGTTGGACGTGTGGGTGTAGCGCCTTGCCTCAATAATTTCCCCGCCTGCGGTGTTATCATTGAGTGAATAGTGTATCGTATGATTGACTAGTTTTTTTTTTGTGAATAGCGACCCGATGACCAATAACATCTGCGGAATATTTGTGCTCATGTGCGTGTGTTTGTGTGTTTCTGTACCATTTTTACGTCGCGGTCCATACCGTGGGTCCATCATGCCTTGTACACAGTTGTTAATGGTGTGATCTCATTGCTCGTAAATATACGACTGTTTTTTAATTAACATTTGTTTTCGTAAAGCGTTGCTGGTCGATTCAAGGCCCAAGGCCGTGAGTATGTTGCTGCGATATGCTGAGCTTTTCAAGTGGGTGTCCTAAATAGCCTTTTCTGAAACGGTTGCCTTATACATATATGACGGTTCTTCCTTGCTATGACCTTGCTTGCTGCTTCGTCTCAATGCTGCCTGTAGTGCGTCTTTTGAAACAGACCACAACGAATACATGGGAGTATATTGTATCGCTCCGGTAGATGCAAGTTGAATATCACACGGATCCTTATCACTATCACCAGCGAACATAGTGTAGTTTGATTACATGAATAGAGTATACACTAAACAGTACACCTCGGGTAAATAGCGGACGTATTAACGGTGGAGCTGATAGATAACAATACTAACAATACGGCGGAACAAGTCCGTTATTGATGTGAAGCAATCAGGACAGGTATGAATGCATCTGAGAGGAACGAATACAATGACATAAACAGCTAAATATCGGGTTACATAGTTGACAGATATTATAGCTCCATAGTTAGATATTATAGCTCGGATTGACGTCTGGTATACGATTGTACGAATAGGTATTCCAATACACTGCTAGAGCATCAGACGCGATAGGTATGCGTCCAATATCAAGTTTATCATGCGTGAGTCGTACATTATGTGTAAATGTCATCTTCCCTACATTCCCACCTAAATGACTCCCCTGATCACAGCATAGAGCAAACACATCAATCGCGAACACTGACATAGCCGACATATGGCCATAGCACTGTCGACGTGGGCGTATCAGATCACATTTCACAATGCGTTTGACACCACCGATGACATCAACCAGCGTCCTAGCAGTCATGAATGCAGTCATCTTGGGAAAGATTGCAATAAAGGAGGAAATGACTTTCAATAAAGCCAGTCATACAAACCATTGAGCTATTTATATGGAACGTATCTACATATGGAACATTTTCAAAGCACCAATCTGAGAACCTTTTCACAAAGTATTTCATATTCTCAGTAGCACTAGATGCCATTTCCGGCTGGTAACAAGTTCCCAGCTGCTGCTTTAGATACCTACTGGTTGGCACCCAGAAAGTACAACTTATAGCAACAGTTACATAGCGGGGAATGGCGGGCAGACACGTACCCACAGCGGTATACGTATTCGAGTATGGTGGTTTTATTTTCATTAGGATATCACTAGGATTTCATTAGATTCTCATTAGGGATTTGGTATCAGTTATGCCATACGACCAGCAAAGTAATAGGTATGTATGCAACTGTTACGAATTTTAATAAAATGAGGTGATACATACCTTGGCTAGGAAAAGTTGTCTTGTTGGTTAATTATCGAAACAGGCATCTCAGAAGTCATAAGCTACTGTCCAATGCTCCTATCCCAAAAGTTAAGCTTAAGCGGAATCATTAAGTGAGAAACGCCAAACAACTTTCCCGGGGCATTGTGCAAGTTCTTGTACTGTTCCCTAGATGGCAGCAGGGTGCGACGCCTGAAGGTAGACTGTACCGCATGACTGTAATAGAAAATCCCTATCCGCGTGCTGGTACTTACAATGAACTGGATGCAGAGAAAGTCGCCCTCCTGTGGTAAACGCTTAGTTGATGACAATGTAGTATACGTATGCATTCATTTTTGAGCTGACAATTTGTCTTCAATAATGTTTCCTGCTTTTCATATGTTTTATTTATCTTTTGTCATTCAAGAGCACTTAAAGGCTTTCAAGCCCTTGGAAACTACTTCTTTTGTCAAATTTAACTAAACTGTGAGATGGTTCGGAGAGCCTAAATGAAAATAAGATAAAAGCTTCACTGCGTAAAACACCTACCGTGTAGTCTGACATTTACTAGAGCACTTTTGTTCACAATGCTTGTCCCGTTGGAATTATTCATATCGGAAACACTTCCCACTCGTTCAAAGTTTCCATAGTCTCAAAACGCATATGACCAAACTTGAAACATGAGTATGAAATATGAAACATGGCGCCAAAGTTTACAATCTAGGTATTAGTTACTTTTGAACTTTTATTGTTCGGGCTCATCCTAGATGGGTCTTCTGACCGCCCTGAACTTTGAACTGTAGTTCTTCGTACTTAGGAATGAGAGAGTGTCGCATCTTTTGTAAAATGTGACATTGTGGCTCCTGTATTTATTAGCTTTTGCAGTACAGGCCTAGAGAAATGAAACTAGGCTGCTTTTCTTTCTAACATTTTTTTTCAACTAAGCCATATTTGCGAAGAAATTTTCCAAATCGTTTATGGCTGGCGCCCAGATTGGCACTCATAACTGCTGATGCTGTCGACTTTTTGGCGACCTCCACCACCCCTACCATGCCCCTTCCTTCCCCTTCCTTCCCCTGGACCCGACCCCGTGCCCTGATTGACCTTTAGTTTCCCTGGCGACCACCAACCACCGGGAAAGGAAATGGGAACACCCCAGTTGGCTCTTGGCCCCGGTCCGGCCTCTCCGCATGGGCTAATACAATGGGACCGTGTAGTTTTTGTGTGGATAAAGGGTTCTCGGCTTTCATTGCGGTTGCCTACCGGGTTTTCCCTGTCTGGTATCATGAGGTCGGCTAGACAAAAAGAACGCAGGTGTTTCGTCTTGATGGCTTGTTTACTATTCATGAAATGAGTGATGAGTTTCGGAGTATGATGGATGTTGTAGCCGGACCTTTGGAAAAGAAAATGTAATTCGTGAAGATGTAACAAAAGAAAGACCAGTACCTCACGTATAAATTATAATTCGAATGCAATTACGGTTGGACAACATTTTCGCCCCGTAGGAGCGAAAATGATATTTTGTACAGATAGTGTTATGGTAATACAGCACTCTGCGCAGTTTGATTACAGCTGGGTTCACTGAGCACCTATACATAGAACTAAAGTTGCCATATTTAGATACCTACAGTTGATAATATTGACACAACTTGCTAAATGTGTAAACATGGAACTAGTGCTTACCCTCAAATGGATTATTTAGCTGTTACACGCACAAAAAAAAAAAACACAAGTGTTATATATGAGTTCAATAAGACATGAAAGCATTGATTGCAAGTATTTTACAGCGAATAAATGGAATCACATAGTAAATAGTTATATCATGGCGACTGACAGGTCAATTAGCTCAACCTTTCTCCATTTGTCAACATTTTTAGGTGTTTTTTATGATGTGCACTTCACTGAACCGCATTGTGTGAACCATTGTATTGGCTTCTTGTATGCAAATCATTCATTGGATATGACGCGTATTATTTAATGGTGTCTTTGTTGATATGCCTTTTGTATTGCCTGTATAATGCCTGTAACTGATAAATCCCTGCTGGCATATTGCACGTTTGTAACTTTTTCTAGACGTTATGAGTTAACCTCATTCTCATATTGCACGTTTGTAAATTCGCCAGATATTGTGAGTTGATATTGCCAGGCCTCAAGTTTTAATCAGAAATTGCAACCCGAAGCAAAGAAAGCACGGAGAAAGAAGTTCATAATTTTAAGCAAAGCCTTCAGTATACACAGGTTTATGCAGTTGGAAATATCTTGCCATTTAGATAGCATCCTGAATGTCTAACATGTTGGGAATGACTGTTTCCCATACCTGCTACATTGCATGATTAAATCGAGACATCCAGGCATTTTAATGGCACGTGCACTGTACCACACTTTTCAAAGTTTAATGCAGTGCTTTAATATTGCCAGCCGTGTGGTTCAAGGGGTGTGGTTAAACGCGTTGAACCCACTGAACTCTAATATATACTGGAAGGAGCATTGGTGACTTGTTTTTGTCTATCGATTTCCGCCATGTTGTGTATACCAGATATATAAATAGCATGTACGGTAGCAGAGGTGCAGTTTAGTGAGAGGTACACTACTCAAAAGTGCTGCTGCTTCATGCTTGCAGTTTGATTGCAGTGATCAACTTTTCAAGACTTTGGTATACACAACATGGCGGAAATCGTTAGACATTCTGGCCCATATGCGGCCAAGGCGAGTGCCTCCCCCTGGTTGAACCACACGGCTGCTGACGTCACTATCAATTATAGTTGTGAGCTTTTTGGCAGGTATGGGAAACACCTTCCAGCCCTAAGGCCGGGAATTCAATAAATGTCACCTCGCTTTTTTAGCGAAAAGCACCTCGGGCCTAACGGCCCTCGGAGTTTTCGCTAAAAAACCTCGGTGACATTTATTGAATCATCCCGGCCCGGGCAGGAATATATTGTGTCTAACAACTCTAAAACTTATGAAACATAACCGATATTGATGAGAGAAATACTCGTAAAGGGCTCAACGAGAGACTAACGATAAAAGTTCAACAGTTCCACTTATCCAAACTGCCCATATGTCGTGACTTCGACCCGAAATAAGCGAACGTTGACGTTAATTTGAGACTGATGTATTGTTACGGCTTGTCGTTAACAGGTATGGGTAATGACCGAAAGCTTATTTTTCATCTATTCTTGTATGTGGTTGGCGGAATTGCGATCGGGCGCTATAGCGCCTATAGACCCTATAGGGTCTAGGCCCACGCAACAAGCTCTGCTTGACGTAGGCTCCGGCTCTGCCCGTCTACTTAAAAGTTCGAGCCAACTTTTTTCATTATCCCTTTTTCAGGCTTAGGCAGAATTCCAACACTAGAACATGCGTAGCTGAGCGCTAAAAGATACGCCAGCGCGGCATGTTCTTGAGCAGTTTTCATGTTCATTTCGTGAAAATATGAGTAGTGCCTGTTGTTATGTAGCCTAATGGTATGTGAATAGATCGCGAAGTCAGCAGTTGTCCAAATCAAGTAATGTTAACATAAGTTCTTTAGCTTATTGCTATTATGTTAACGTAAGCTAAAAGTTGTCAATGCGGAGGGTAGTGAATATGAAAAATGAACATTGTATAATGCATAGACTAAGACAGTGTGATTATTTTTTGCATTTTAACATGAACTAGTTTTTAACCCTTTCAGAGAAAATAATATACTTTTTATGATAAAGACCATATGAGTTTTCTGTCATGTCTTACCATTCCATCCCCTGTAGGTATTTTAAAGTACAATGCCATGTTGCCATTTCATTGACTATGGGAGCTTGCGACACTGCATATCCAAATGATTAAGCCTTTGGCGAAAAACAGTGATTGTGTACACTGTACATGGTTGTTAAACACAAAAAGGTAATCAGATGAGTATTTGCGCAATCAGTCTGCGCTTATAAGCGACATGACGCCTAGGTACACAGAGATAAGTACATTGACACGCGAGTACATGAATACATTCATACACAGTTGTTCATGTTTTAGGTCTAATCACAGCGCTGTAGAAGAGTTCACCTACATCTATTTGACTAAAATATATTGCAGTATGAATGCCTAATTATATAACATTCAATATATTCTGCCCTGCATATAGGTGCTGGTTTCGAGTCGACCAGCGACGAATCTTCGACAAACGAAAACGCAGTTATGACTAGTTCCATTGTAGGACTCAAATGTTTGATTCAGTCAGGGTACGCGCCCGCTTTCCTGATAAATTCGAGATCCAGCTTTGTGCGAGCAACAGCCATGCCTCCACAGACAGCAGCGAAAGCTGCACGGAAAGCACACAAATAACACTTCCCAAACTGAAGCATTTGCTTCATCGGGAGCCACACGAATAAATCTCGAGGACCATCACAATTTGCACTCCCCCACCTCAAGATCCTTTTTCCTTCACATTATTTTCATCGTTTGGATGATAAACCGCGTTGGTCCATGTTTCACTCAGTTTAAGCCCTCAGTCCGCTTTTCGCTGATCTTCACATTTTCACTGGCTAGACTCTGGTTTCCCGAACGACTTTTGATGTTGGTGTTTCCGAATCCAGTGCAGCAAGAGATTCTAAGTAAACGGGATCTGGAGGAAAGAAAGGGATGAAAATATGTTAGTCTAGGCGAGATCTGACAGAGATATGGGTAAGAACTAAAACGTATATGAGCTCAAATACTTGGGATATGATTGACATAAAAACTTCAGTGGGATTTTACATTGCATAACATTGTCGGAGCCCTTGGCAACACAAGCCCTTGATCTATCGAGGCATTATGGTGTGTGTGTGTGGGGGTGGGAGTGGGAAGGACTGTTGTGGAAAATATTAATGCATCAAAGGGTTATTGCTTTTGGAGTAAGGTTGTCAACGGTATTTTATGAATGTTTTGTAGGATAAAATACTAAAGTACCTTTGCCAGCATACCACGCCCTGGTAGAGAGGTAACTAGCATCTTGCACGTCAATAAAAGTAATTGTTAATCAAAATACCACATGAAGCACCTGCAAGTAAGATGCAAACTACAAAGCGGCCTACGTGCAGCCTAGTGGCAAAAGCACGCACATGTAGAAACCGAGAGAGAGAGAGAGAGAGAGAGAGAGAGAGAGAGAGAGAGAGAGAGAGAGAGAGAGAGAGAGAGGAGAGAGAGAATGAATAAGAGACACAAACAGACAGAGACATAATGGACAGACAGATAGACAGACATAATAGATAGACAGACACGCTAAGAGCTAATACTAACCGAGCTGTTGCGATTGGTTATTGGATCCACCGCTATCCTCATTGGAGCGTCTGCCTCTTCTCTCCCGTATTCTCGTGGTTCTAGTTCTTCTCATGCTGGTTCCCTCAGTGAACGACGTGGTTCTTCCGCTACGTTCTGGTACTTTGGACGACGACAGACCGACCAGACGCGAGCAAACTGCTATTAGTTCCGACCTGACGAGCGGAGAGGGGCGTGAGGGGGCTGGGGCGACGGGGTGGGGTCAAGGTCTACCCGTGACAAACACGCAGAGTGAATGGGTTCGGGGAAGTATGGTGTGCGACTCTGCGACTCTGTGACTGTGGGCAATGTCAGTTGTCAGGTGATAATGCTATTTGGGAATGTAAATTGATAAGAAAGGGCAAACAGTTCTTGGTAGTGTGTGGACGTTATGGGTTGTGAGATCATGTCCAATTGGTCAGCACAACAACTCCTTCCTTTCTAGGTAGGTATTAGACAGGCTGAGGTCAAGAGGCTAATGCATTTTTTCGTAAATGAAATAAAAATAGTCATTTACCATGTTTATTTATGCATCCAGAAAAGGTATCAAAATGTTGTGTTGTAAAGCTATGATATAAACTGTTTTCACAGCCAAAAATCTTCATGATCATGCCATGCATTTTAAGCTGGAGTTCCCTGGAAATGAACAGCACTTATCAGAGAATCTTTAAGCTGACGTCGGGTCAAATATTTTATGTTCTGCTGTAGTTGTTAACAGTAGCATAACACTACTCATTTCCGTGAATTTTGTCATTCGACTCTACTCAGCAAATCAGTATATGACCAATAAAGAGATAAAGTCCCTGCTCGGAGCCATTTACGCAGACCTTCAAGACCCGTTTTCTAATCGCGCTTCACGTACTCGGTAATATGCTCTTTATTCTCGAGACTGAATTACGTAAGCTCTCGAATGTCAGGGAATTAAGAAGTTGTAGGATCCCTTCCTACGTAATTTGGGTAGATGTAAAGCGTACTGATTGTGCTCCAACGAGTAGTCCGTTATAACTTTAAAGCACGTATTTTTCAGACGCACTGTATTTCTGACCTAGGAAGTGGTTTAGCTATCGATTTTGGCAAGGCATTCCCGGCAGTGCCTCAGCGAAATTGTCTTGGGCCAGCGCGGTCGCCGGTTAACTGTAGCCAGTTGCGTGAAGACGTTATTGCTGCGTGCCGCTAGCCTATCAGACAAATACCTCGGAGCATATCGTGACGAACAAATTGGGGCAAATTCTCTGACGGGAAGATTGAGCTAGGTCGACTGAGGGCACCTCTATATCTGTAGCTATACTGCGGTTTGGTTTCCTAGATCGATTGTACAGCGTTTTACTGTGGTTATTTCCATTAACTATGCTCTTGTGTTGACGATTTTATTCCATCTGTTAGGTTGTCGTTAGTTAAAGGGACTATCCCACCTTCTAAAATGTTGTTAAAACCAGTTAAATTGTGCCCGACTTTATAGATTGGATGACCAGGAACACGGTTCTGGCATTTATTTTTCATTAAACATCTTAGGCTTCCCATATTCCAAACACAAACTTTCAAATATGTGACGTCACAGCCCAAAATTACCTCCTTCCCCAGGCCACATTACTGTCATAAAGCTGATTCTTTTTACTCTGTAGGCACCACAACAAAGTTCTGACCAAGTTTTAAGCGATTTTTCAACGAACAAACCCATTTAAATCAGATTGACTAAACGAGGTGACGTCACACTAACGGTCGCTCCATGTTGAAGATAGGGCCTTGTACAAGGCCCATTTTCAAATGAAGGAAACGAATTTCTTCAACACCAAGAGGCCGCGGGGGTTGCAACCTAGATAGATAGTGGTTTCTGAACCTCGCCGCAAACTTGGCTATCTTAACTCAAACCCCATGTTAAAGGTGGGATAGTCCCTTTAACTATATAAATTTTATACGCGATATTTTTCGAGTGGTATGTACGTACAGTCCACAGCAGAAGTAATGTGGGGTTTCAGTCATGGGTATGTTCTGCTTCTGAAGCTTAGGAACGATTAGCCAGACTACAATGAAACTTTGAATGTAGCTTATATGTATCGTCACCCTTGCAGCTGCAACTTAAGCTATTGACATCTTCTTTTCTATCACTCCGCATTAAACAATCGCCAGTCAAAGCCAACCTTTGAGATTGGTAAAACCCTGCATTACTTTAGCGGTGGGCTGTACATGGAGGCATAGTGCACTGTGCATAGCTCCCTACCGCTAAGCTCGTCCATACATCGCTCAGGTCAACTAATAATGTGAAGCCTTGCCGGCTGGTCACGCGTGTTCCAATGTTCTCATCAATGTTCTCGCATTAATGAAAAATTGAGGTGACACGCCATTAGTGAAATATCAATGCTGTCATTAATCAGCAATAAAATAATCGCTCAATGTCGTTTAAGGGTGATTGATTTTCATGTCTACTTATTGTAATAGTCATCATAAAAGTGGTCTGGTTATGCATTACTGGAAGCAATTTAGCGAAACTAAAAGCAATAAAACCAAAGGCAGGAAAAAGAAATGATTACTGTATTTAGGGCCTTGATGATACCGAAAGGTCAAAAGCTAAAGAAGCAGACGGCTGTTTTCCTCCGCTTTATTCCGAACCTGATTCCGCACACAAATCTGAACGTGTGTCTAGACTAGCGTCGCACGTGACCTGCCTTCAACTGATTTACCGAAATAGGCGGCGCGCACTTCATACAATTCCGGTCGCCGGAGAGGCCCACGATTCTCCAGTCGCGTGCTTTGACTAGCGGCTCTCCGCCCTGTCTGAGAGTTGTTGGAGCAATGCCGGGCTGGTTAGGGAGCAGGGTCCCTCGAGTCGGGACAGCCTTCTCTTGGCATGCTACACAAGGAATGGGAATGTCCGGAGAGATTAACTCTAATGAATATTGATGTGGCATCGAGGGGCACGCGACAGACGGTAGAAAAAAATGGGTAATGACAATGAGAGATGTCATTGTCCTGGGGGCTAGGATAAAAGGTGGCTGTGTCACAAACGGCGTGATACATAACTGCGTTTTACGTTCTCGTTCATCCAGATTCTTACTCTTTGCAAAATATTCTAAATCATCAAATATTCAAACACTCTCGCTTTTGTTTTTCCTGAGAAGGAGGTATCGTAAGAGATGCCTGTCGCGTCTCTGGAGACAAAAAAAAAATGTTGGTGGATGCCTCGAAATATCGGATGGCCGCTGACCACTGTATCCAAGGCAATGTCTATGAATATCAATTAGATGCCGCTGATTAGGGGACATTGGGACCTTGGATAGCTTCTTTCTTGTGTTATCATCTTGCTTCATTACCAGGCACATCAGACAACGGGATGGAGAGTGATATGGAAGAGAATGATATCGATATGCATTACGTAACCAAAAGTTGTGTAGTGTTATTGCTTTTGTGTTGTTTTCTTTGTGCATTGGAAACAAAGGTGTCACAATTAAATGGTTTTCTGCATGACTAGCATCTTTCCTCTGTATATATTCGTCTTTCACGCGGCTATGGTCGTCTCATGAAACTCCCAATCTACCTATATCACTCCATCTTTGATGTTTATCTCCCTGAATCTCATTTACATCTCCCCACCTCTGATATATTCCCTTGCGTCTTTGCCTGAACTAGCTGTGTCTCATCTGTGCCTTCACCTGTGTCTCTCTGGCATCTCCCGTGTATCTCTCCGTATCTGACCTGTATCTCTTGTCTCTCCTGTCCTGTATGATCTTAGTTTCACATGCATCTTCCCGTAAATTATTTACCTATGCCTATTGGTTACTTTGCAGCTACCCTGTATCTCTGACGCATTGTCCTACATCTTCATTCTTTTCTCACCTAGGGGAAGCGGGGGGAGCACCGCCACCTTAAGCATTTCTGCTCACCGAGCTGATATGCGTAGTAAAAACGAAGCTCTTTTGCATTCAAGTGAAAAAGGAATGTTTTCCTACATGTTGGCATAGTTTCCAGCGCTCCATTATAAAATTTCGCTACTTTACAGACATTGAAAACAAGTCCTGCATTTTCCGTCCTCCAAAAAATGTGCGGGTAGCACCGCCACTGATGACGATGTTATCCACAGATCGGCCTTACGGTGACAGCCACCCTTGGAAGCGTTACTGCTGTCTGAAATAGTAACTCAAACTCATATAAGACACACAAGAGTTGGTTGTTAGTTTGTCACAGATCAGACTGTTTGTTGCGGACAATATGCATACAAAGCATGACAGATTCACGTTTATTTCGAAACATCCAGTGAAGTCAAACGTGAGGTTAAAAAACAGACGACGTTTGCGGCCTAACTAAAGCTCTTCTCCGAGCTGAGTGAATCATCATTGCGGCTTTATCCATTTTGCCACCCCTTGGGGTAGCACCGCCGAGCATGGCGGTGTTACCCCACACACAGTCATGGACCGACAACGCCCCGACAGCAAAACAAGCCGGGACGCGATTCTTCTGTAATTCCTTTCTAAACGAAGAGCACTTCATGCCCTCAAATTTAACGTAAAAATCAAGGCATTTTGACTTGAAATGGCCACTTACTTGCTGCTAAAACATGCCAAATGATTACAACGATGGTTTGAAATTCACAAATAGGGCAATTGCGATCTCAAAATCAAATAAATCTTAGCGAAACTTACCTCACGCGGCGTCCCGTTTCCGTTCGGACACCGAAATGGCGGGTGTTTACATTTACAATTCAGAGTTTTGCCGATAGAGAGGATGGCGGTGTTTCCCACATGGCGGTGCTACCCCCGCTTCCCCTATATCTCCCTGCTGCATCTCCCTCATATCTCCCCTATGTATATCTCCCAATCACCAACCTGTATCTAGACGACACCAGAATATAGAAGAGCGGATTGGTGAGCCCTGAGAGTTTGGCGAACAGCGTCACCACAGCCACCATGTAGACGGGAAGCTGGTAACCTCCCACGATGGTGGCGTGGAGGGAGACGACGGTGTAGGGCAGCCACGTGATGACGTAGCCGGCCAGCACCAGCACCACCAGCTGGGGGGGGGGGGGAAGGGAGTCACGTGGGGGTAGGTAAAAGATTTCGTAGTGGTGACTGGCGAGCAATAGAGCGGCAAGTGGCGGTATTATATGGGACACGGACTGAAGTGTTTAACTGTGGTGATTTGAGACGCGTGTAACAAACTTGTGAGACAAAGCATGATGTTCCTATATGACGGGTAAGTCAGATAAGGGAGATTATTTTTGAGTTTCAGTATGACGTCATTCACTTTGGTTAACTTTATCCTATGTTGCCAAAAGAAGGATAACTTTCAAAGTACTCTCCCCTGCGCTCACGTTAATATGTTGTTCTCTAACTTGTGCTAATAAAAGCAAAACATCACAAATGATCAGCCAAACCAACCATCGGTATATTAAAAAACGGCAGCGCCACACCCACCTGATTCAGCTTCCGGTCGCGCCTGCGCAGTTTGACGACGAGCACTCCGCCATGTTTGCTGATGGCGCGCGTGCTTCTGGCCGACACTCGCACGATTCGACAGTAGAAAATGAGCATTCCTATCAGTGGCAGAGCCAAAATGAAGAACACAGCCGCGACTAGGTATGTCCGATCACCTGGGGGTGGAGGGGAAAATAGAGCGTTATGTCGTGAAGGTTGTAAGGTAAAGATGACGTTTGCTATCGAAATGCATCAGTCATAGACTTGTGAATCATGTAGCAATATCAATTTTACGTCATTTGATTTAATCAAGTGTTTCAAAAAGTTTCAACTTTGAAAATTTCAGTTGCAAAGTTTCAAAGTTGTAAAAACCATTGTCAATTGCATCATGCATGCATCGTTGCATATTTAAAATCACAAACGTTGTTGTGCCTCTCTCATCAACTCACTGAGTCTCGTGCTGGTCCAGTCCAGACTCGAAGAGACCTTGTGCGGCTCCAGACCGTACGACCCCCAGCCCAGCAGCGGCGTCACTGACCAGAACAGCGCGTACGCATAGGCCGCCACCATGTAGAGCCTGGCCGCTCGCACGTCATGTAGATGACCTGTCCAGGTCACAGAGGTCAATGAAGAGAGGTCACAAAGGTCAGTCACACTTGTCGCGAAGCAAGAACACAGCAGGGGTCACCGGTCGGAGGTTCAACGGACTCTGGCTTAATTGGATTTGGGTAAGGGAATTCGGCAGCTGGAAATGTAACCATCCGGGACAGGTGTTAAGCACTGGAGCGTGAAGTGGAGTTAGGCGAAAGCGATCAATGAATGGTGAGAATACCAGGCTGATCCGCACACGTGATTGAATAGAGGATCAGTCTGTCTTGCGTGAGACGATGCACGCAAAGTTTTACGCGGGACTGCCACCGCACTGTAAAAGAGCACAGCAATGACAAGATTGCTTCACGACTGCAGTTACAAGCAATGAAGTGAAATTGCAGTAGAAGTGCTTACCTAAATGTGGCCAGCATGTGTTCAGATATCTGAAGAGTGCCACCATGAAGATGGATAAGATATTGACGGTGCCGAAACTGTAGCACAGGAAACCATGGATCACTGCTCCTGAAACAGAAAGACGATTGCTTGGTTTATAATTCCAAACGTCGAGGCTTTTCGGAACTGATCATCGTAGATCCAGAATAACTGTAACGAATGATAACATACTGGAGCCAAGAGTCCACCGTTGCAGCTTTCCATATTTAAATATTATCACAGGCTTCCTTACATCGTTATATTCCTTAGCCGAGAGCTGATTGAAACCGGATTCCAGTGAAGCAGTGATTGGCAATGATCTTGTCATAGAGCTACGACATACAACATGGTAATCGATCAGGCTTCGATAGATTTCTTGAGCTGCGAAATTGATGGTAAGGTAAAGGTTATGACTACTTCTTTGGTCAGCTAGAGTCATCTAGAGAGATCGTCAGCTAGAGGTCAGCTAGGGTTGGCATGGGTCTTGTTGGATATCATATGGATAAGAACATTTGTAACTGTATGCAAAATTGCTAAATGCACATAACACAAATATGCACAGTTTCTAAATTCAGCGAATGAGTTGAACTCAGATGGTTCAAATATTTCATTGTGGGTCGTCCTGAGTTGCCACGTTTTCAAGACAACTTTAAGCGAAAATGTCATAAGCCTTCCTATCATCTTTGAGCAAAAATGTCAAAACACGTTCTTACACCCCCTTCAAGCTCCCTTTGAACATTGACTTGCGGCTTGCCTGTCTTCTTAGCGCTCTTAACGTTTTATTAAGACTGCTACACGTTTGATGCCGCATTAATCGTGCCCGTGTCGCTCCTCAGAGGCTCATTTCAAGCTGAGTTCGCCTACCAAGTCAGCGCTGGGTCAGCACAATTTGTCCTGTTGCCAAAGGATGCTCAAAGGCCACCACCGCACTACGTAGCCAGATAATGGCTGCGTGGGAGCGGGTTATTAACGCCCGGGCCGTCATAAAAGCGGTTTGGCATCCAACCAAAAGATAGGTCAACTGGAAAGCAGAGCTGGTGGCGTGGTGTGTTCGGTTGAGCAGCCTCAGGATGAAGGAACGATTTAATGAAGACTTCTAATCGCGATCCACGCAGCTCCTCTGTGGATAAACAGGGGTTTATGTGTGCGCGCTAGTAAGCTGTGTTCTAAGTGATTCAGTTTGTTCAATTCGGTACGTTAGCTGGGTCATTTGGCTGATTCGCTTTGCATTTGTGATGAGGCAATATCTCCAACGGAAAGAAGACCCCATGTTAAGGGCTGTGTTTCCCTGTTCGCTAAAATTAGTTTGATATATTTGTTTCAAATCCATGCTTGCGCTTTTAATTCCGTTTAACGTGCTCAAGAAAAGTCAGCCGGGACCCATTTTGCACGTGCGCACGTGCAGGGTGCCGCTTCCAGATCTCGAGAACGGCTGGGCCGATTGTGCTCAAATTTGGCACATCGCTAGAGACCGGTTAGTAGGGTGCCGTGCACAAGTCAGTTGGAGGTACCCCTCGCAAGTTCGCACGTGCAAGGCCCACCCTCTCGCTCGCTCCGTTAGTCGCCCCAAAAGGCGTTATACTGGTTTATTACGGAGCGAGCGAAGCGAGCGGAGTCTTACGTAGAATAACGGGAATTTCTGAGTATGAACGGCCGGCCGGCCGTGCGGACGCTTTTGCGAGGCTTATATCTCAGCACCACTTGA